TCGATAGACAAAGACTTTAACGTTTGGGTAAACACTTGCGACAAGAAATTTGTACCTTGGTCTGTTTGAACCACTTTCGGAAGTCCAAACGTAGAAAAGAAATTAGTCAAAGTTTTCAGGATAGCAGGAGCCGTAATTTTCCGCAATGGAACAGCCTCAGGAAATCTAGTCGCTCTACACATTATAGTACATAGATATTGACTACCTGCTTTCATTTTCGGTAATGGTCCGACACAGTCAACCAATACCTCTTCAAACGCTTCTCCTATAACTGGGATAGGAGACAGCGGAGCGGGTGAGATAACCTGGTTTGACTTTCCTGCAATCTGGCAAGTGTGACACGTACAAAAAATTTTTGCAACGTTTCGTTTCTACCCAGTCCAAAAAAAAAAAATGAAGAATACGTTGGTAAGTTTTTGTTACCCCCAAATGTACCAACAGCAAATGATCATGTGCCAAACGCAACACCTGAGAACGATATTGGATTGGAACTACCACTTGATATACCACGTTCCAATCCAAATCCTTCTCAACCTTAGAACACCACTTACGCATTAGTAAACCCTTGTCTACGAAGTATGCAGTATTCCTTTTCTTGGCAGCTTCAGTGCTAACTACAGCTGACAAACACTTTCTCAAAGAGAGATCGTCGTTTTGTGCCATAACGATCTGAGAACAAGTTATGGGTAAATCTAATGACTCCAAACCCTCTAGCCAATTTTCTGACTTTTTCACTTTAGGAGCGTTTACAGAACCCATCTTAGTTTCAGAGGTCTTTTACATCATCCGCTAAAAAGGGTCCCAACAGCGAGTCAGCCAAATCAACTTCGCACACTGTTTTAGCTGACTGAACACGAGTAACTGCACAAGCAGAAAACACTTCAGGATGCAAATTAATGACATCATCAACAATTAGGCAAACACACAGAGCATCAGTCACCTCTGGAGCTGGCAAAACTTTGCCTCCAGCCAAATCGTTTCCCAAGATGAATGTAATTCCTTTTACAGGGAGTGAACTACGAATTCCAACTCGCACGATCCCTGAAACAAGTGTACATTGTAAATGCACCCGATGCAAAGGAACAGACACAACTTGCATTTCGATCCCACGAATAAAAATGTTTGAGCCACAATATGATACATTAGAGAATGGTAACGCATCAGACAGCATAATTGATTGCATGGCACCTGTATCTCGGAGAATAGAGATTTTTCTCTGATCTTCTTCCTTTCCAGACAACGAAACAAATCCTGACATAACGAAAGGTTCATAATTTGCATCAAAACTCTCAGGACAACATGATGGTTCGAACGGTACAGTCTTCACGAACGCAACACTTTTCGGGTCTCTAGACTGCTGTTTACGCAGCAACACCGGCCAATCAGCAATCAAATGTCCGAGTTTATGACAAGAAAAACCGGCATTGCAATAACAAAGCCCCACAACTGCACCACAACGGGAGAACGGTCAACAGTGGCAGCGGAACCAACCCGAGGGGAATCTCACTCCCCTCACTCCTCTCAGCCTCTGCAACCATTTGAACCATTCGCGTCCTTCAACCATCTGGTGAAGGACGCGATAGAGCCGGTCCCTCCAGTCGATATGAAGTCAGGGCACTACAGTCCCTACTTCATTGTACCCAAGAAAGGTGGTGGGTTACAACCGATCTCTGACCTGGGCACGCTTTCCCAGTGTTATCCAAGTCTCACTGTATAGGTTATAAAGGAACAACAGTGTCACCACTCTCTGTGTAACCCTCCTCCTATTGTCCTTCCAGGCAAGAAGGTGCAGAGGCTTGGATGGGGCGCTAGATGAGGTGCAGCGACTGTGGCGCTTTAGTAAGGATTCCTATTGGTCAGTCTGACCTACGTTGTAGTGACTGACCGGTAGGGAACGTCTCGGTTACATATGGTAACCCTCGTTCCCTGAGGGAGGGAACAGAGATGTAGGTCCCGTCGCCACATCTACTGCTGCCCGCCGGGGGGCCAGCTTCCCAAGTTTGGCTCCTCAGCAAAAAACTGAAGTGCAATCACACAGCTGCTCGTTTATACCCGCGGTGACAAGGACGCGCAGCTGATGCAAATGATTGCACGCCAATGTGCATTGACTTGTTTTAGATTCACTCGAAGTAAATTGGCTCTCTAGCGAGATTCCTATTGGTCAGTCTGACCTATGTCTCCATTCCCTCCCTCAGGGAACGAATGTTACCATATGTAACCGAGACGTTTTGTATGTTAGATTTTGTATCCAATCATATTTCAGCCATCATGCGTTGCCAGGGTCAAATAAATTTGCCTGGAGGCCTTCCGAATCGACAGTGTGGGCGCCTGTAGCTTAAAATGAATGGCAATGAAACTGTTTCTTTAACCAATCAGATAATCAGTCAGATTTAATCAGCCAATCAGATTTTGTTTTGACTGCAGCGGGGCCATCTAGCAGGCATATAGTAATGTGTGCTTCTGTCGAGCAGGCACTCTCAGCCATAAAGCGAATTAAAACTTATGAAATATGACGAGACGGACACGACATTGTTGGAACTGAAATGCAGTTAGAACCTTTACAATAGTAATTGAAGTCTTTTTGAGGAAAGAAATAAGGATGGATTTTGTGTAAAAAATAATCTGTAGTTTTAGTGAGTATAATGCTTTTTTCCCCGTGGTGAATATGATTTTCTTCTTAATTTTTCGTATAAATTTATGATCGAAACTTAATTTTTTTCAAACAGTCATACTATTGTAACGTCTGAATAGGGGCTATTGTAACCCTTAAACGACAAGATAAGGGAGGCTCCGTTTCTGAACTTATAATCGGATTCGGAACACAAGAACCACTATACAAACGCACCAGCCGGACTCACGCATTCGTTTCTCTCTACCGGCCTTTCCCGAACTCACCGCATTAACCTAATAACTGCCGATGCAAAATAAAAACAACTATTATAGGCCTCGTTTACACTGCAGGTCTTGATGCCCAATTCTGATTTGTTACCTATATCCGATTTTTTAACTGTCTGATTACACGTTCTTTAAATTGTGACCCATATCCGATTCATGTGTTTACACTTGCCATATAGGCTAGTATCTGAAACATATCACGCATTCTTAAAGGGTTAAATTATCTTGCACAGATGGACGAACACGAAATATTCTTCATGCTCTGCAATATGACAGACTGATCTCATGAAGTAGCGTGTGTATGACACGCCAATTCGTATTTCCATTTTTGGCGTGCTATCAAGATGCATAATCTCCTTTCAGCGTGTTTATGAACGCCGTTGACATAACGTTATATAAATATATGACTTACCTCAACCCCGTCCCTAAACCTAACCGCCACTGGGGTTAATGGCATTTATGACTGTTCCCTTACCATCCAAGGTAAAAAAAAGATATGACTTACCTCAACCCCATCCCTAAACTTAACCGTCACTGGGGTTAATGGCATTTATGACTGGAGATTTGACTGCGTGTACAGACACGCGGAATGACGCGGACGTTAATGGCGTAGACATATACGCATACACGCGGATACACGCAGATAGCTCAAAATGCGTGGAGATAACACGCCACCTGACTCGAAAGTGGCGTATATGTTTACGCAAAAGTCATGATGTCATGTTGAATATGAAGTTGCAAAACACCACTTTTGAATAAGAAACAATGTCTATCAAACTCGTTAAAACTCTCACACGCATATCGGTGAGAACCACAGTCTATGATGAGAACACTTGTTAAAACAGCATACACACCCGAACTTGACTGGTCTTCACATGTTTGATACTGCTTTCATTCGTACTGCTTTCATTCGTACTGCAACGGACCGATCTACGGGACATTAAGCCTTAAAATAAAGGGGTTCTTGGGCTTTTCACTGTTATACAATAAAGAGCCTGCACAGAGACAGCAAATAGAAATAACCACAACAAACTGCCTAGAGCCTGTAGCCTATTTACACAACACTGACAGTGGAGTTGCGCTCAGGAGTAGAGCAGCTGTGGACGATTTTCTTATTCTTTTTTGAGAGACTGCGGATTAATTCTTTCTATGCACACAAATTATGATTTTACGTTTTTAAAAATATTATTGAGCATGTTAATAGTCCTAGCACGTTTTAAATAGCCCACCCACTTAAAGTGTTTATTACAAATAAATTACTAAATTCTTAAAATAAATGTAAATGAACCATTTTCAGCACATTTACAATCCTGTGAAAACACCTCATGTGCCCCTGTCCACATTCCTCTCCTATGACACGGCCATCCGTCCCTTTGCAGAAGCACGTCGGGGGTTTCTCTCGTCATTAAACCGCAGAGACGTCGCCTAATGCCTCAGAAAATCCGATCTGCCTGTTTACATGACAGTCGCATTGGCACATATCGGATTTATATCTGATATATTTCCACAAATGAACGAGGCCTGAAACCGATCTCAAAATATCCGAATGCATGCGTTTTGTTCCTGTTTACACTGTAATAGAACACATCCGATCTGTGTCGCATAATTATGAGCAAAAAATCGGAATTGGGTCACATTTCACTGACAGTGTAAACGGGGCCATAGAGAGTCTTTGCACTGATACAAAAAAAGTTATTAATTCAGGTTGGACAGAAGGCCTAGGTGTGAAATGCACAGCCCGCCACTGATGTACGGTATACCGTCCTTGTCCAGAAAGGAAATAAAGACATCATCAAAGTAGTCCATGTGACATCAGTGGGTTAGTTAGAATGTTTTTAAGCATTGAAAATACATTTTGGTCCATAAATAACAAAAACTACGACTTTATCCAGCATTTTATTGTCTTCCGGTTCTGTTGTCAATCTGTGTTCAGTGATGCTGAACGCGGATTGACTCTTTATTATATAAAGAATTATATAATATTATTCTTTAAATTATATTATGTTATTAGTAAATTAATTAATTTAATGTAGCTTAGATATATATTTTGTTCCACTGTATATTTATATTTCTAATGTGATTTTTTTTTTTTTTTTTTTTTTTAGATATGACATATACTCTATCATCTTCTCCCCCTGAAAATGGCCAAAGGTTTCATTCTGACCAGAGACAGAGAACTCTCCCCTCACGAGTCTCTCGACCTGAGCATTCTTCAGTACATGTTCGCGTATCACCCCAGGAGTTACGCTCAAACCAGGGACTGGCCACTGGCACAAGCCGTCACATTGATTCATCATCTCTCTGCCATCGTGGGTCCACAAATCTCCCCGAGCGTGGCAAGTCCAAGCCCTCATGGAGACCGGTGCGAGAGGTACTGAATGTGGACAGTGTGCTGAGCGAACTAGAACAACGTCAGCAGCAGCAACAACGTGGGAGCCCTCGATGTGTCCGCCGCTTTGGCCATGAGAGAGGGCTGATAAAGGAGAAACAAAAAGGTCTGATGACTATTTACGAAGATGACTCGCGTTTGGAGACTGAAAGTCAAAGCTCCCAGGAGTCTCAGCGACAGATAATGGTGACCAGACCTAAAGGTGGAGCAAATGTCGCACAGCGGAGTGATAATTGGATGATCCAGAGGACAGAGTCAGGATACGAGAGCAGTGATAGGTTGAGCAGTGGTTCCACCAATCCTGACTCACCAGGTGTTGAGAACTTCACAGGCAAAGAGCTCAAACTCAGTGAAGAAGCACAGCACCTCAGGTAGGATAAATTAAGTAAAGATTGGAAGTTTTTCTTTTGGATTCCTTGGTCTTAATGCAGTGGTGTATTTTCTCAGGGATCAAGGCCATAATAATCAAGGGGATTCAAAAATGGAGGGAGTGCGTTCTCCGCTGTATCACAGTGAGTGTTACCCATATGCCATGGTTATCAAGTCACCTTTATTTCTATAATGCTTTATACAATACTGATTGTTTCAATGTAGCTTCCCCATAATATAGAGGAACATAACAAAATAAATGATGCAAGCATCTTTAGATATGAGGCAAATTTTAATTATGCTGTAAAGTAGCTCTAGAAAGTCAAAAGTTTCATTATTCAGCTCAAGTCAGTTCAGTTTGTTGGTTCAGTTCAGTAAAGTCCATCATTTATGAAATTAGGTAAATACAAAGTTCTGTCATGAAACTCTAGATAGCACAGGCTAAATAGGTCCTTAACTTAATCGGCTTGAAATGACATCATTCTCTATATAGGGCACAGCTGTTTGGTCAACCTTTAGTTAGCATTTTAGTACAGCATGTTTTCAGAAACCCTCCACCTTCCCCAGCTCCACCTGTATAGATCTGCAATGGGTAATTTGGGTACTGTATATTATATTGTACAGCAGCAGCATGTCTTTCTTTATCGCAGCGGCAGCAATAACAGCAGCAGTGTAGCGGATCTATTCTGTCAAGACCAAATTTATCAACATTGTCATACCAATTACAATGCCAAACACTCTGAAAGTTGTCATGACAGAAATTAATTTCAGTTCAAGTTTTGTTCTGATAGTGTCAGTGCAGTTCAAGCAGTGATAGCATCATCTCTTGTTACAATTTGTAAAAATAAAATTACGAGTGTAGTTAATTTGCTTCTTTAATATTTTACAATCAACAGTCTTGTAGTAGTCTTGACCAAGCATATTTGCACATGTGCTATACTGATGTTGAGTCTTTTGGTGCTTATTCTGTATAAATCTAGCCCATGATTTCTGAGTTCTGTCTTTTCTGTCTCTTTTATCAGTCAGAAAAAAGCCCCATTTTTTCAGCATCATTACTCCAGTCTTTAGTGTCACTTGATCCTTCAGAAATAATTCTAATATGCTGATTTCTTGCTCAAGAAACATTTCTTATCATTATTATCAATTTTGAAAACATTTTACTGCTTAACATTTTTGTGGAAATGGTAATTTTTTTCCAGATTTTCTGATGAATAGCAGGTTTAATTAACAGCATTCATTTGCATTTATTATGCTTATTCTTAGTGGAACATTTATTGTCCAGCCGAGAAACAAGGTGCTCATTCAAAAAGCAAACCTGAGAACTGCCACAGATTTGTCTCGTACCCCTCCACAAGAATCAAAGGGCTTGGGATGACACTCTCAGCCAAAGCCTTCTAAGCAGAAGGCGGATCTGAGGACCGTCCTTCTCGTCCTGTCACCACTGGTGTCAAACTTCTGAGGGCCCCACCTCGGTATACGGTGCCCGCATCACTTTTGTGCCCTCAGGGGCCGTTCTGCCAACCTCACCCTTGGTGCCTCAAAGCACAGTGGTTTCCAGTGAGCTTATGACTCAAGGTCCATCAAAAGGGGTTGTTTCATGCTCACACCATCTGAGCATGGTCAAAAAGCAGTAAAATCGATTGTTTCCTGCCAGTTCGCTTAAAGTCAACGAAGTACACCGGAGGCCACCCTTAAGAGGCTGGTTCCCTTAGTAATTATCTAGCAAAGTGTAGGCTTCTGCTTCTGACATGGCTTCTTCCATGTCTCCATCCTTCCACAACACAGGAACTTCCTGAGGTTTTTTTTCAGGGGCGAATCATTCCAGTATCAGGTTCTTCCCTTTGGCCTAGCTCTATCACCCCGCACATTCACAAAATGCATGGTTCGCATTCTGTAATATATAGACGACTGGCTTATTCTAGCAGAGTCGGAGCAAATGGTGGTTCAGCATTGAGATGTTGTTCTCACTCACATTTAAAAGTTGGGGTTGAACCTGAATCCCAAGAAGAGTTCTCCAGTTCAGATGACCACTTTTCTTGGTGTGGTGTGGGGTTCACTATCTATGCAGGCCGTCCTATCGCCTGCTCATGTTGCTGCAATCCTCAGATCCGTAAATGAGATAAAGCTAGGCAAGTCATTCACTGTGAAACAGTTTCGTTCCCACCTCTTGAGATATGGAACATGTGGGTTTGACCTCTGAGGGGGCCCCCCAGGTTCACAGGTGATTATCTTCTCAGTATATACAGGGACAGGCACTTACAAAGCATGCCATTTGGGCATTATTGTTCCCAAAGCAGCATTGACCCAGCATCAGAAGTGATCGAAATGCTGCGTCACCTTGCCATACTTCCTTCATCCCGGTCATCGACTTGCTTCGGCTAATTGAAGCTAACACCGGTCATTTTGGATGTGCTTTTGTGCTTTCCTGGTCGTGACGTCTCCTGCCTGGCGCAGCAAGCGAGACAGAATGAGCAGGATCAACACTATCTCACGACCAATTCGTACGAATTCGACGCATGATTAAAAAGTGGCTAATTCGTACTAATTCGTACGACCTCACTCGTACTAATACGTACGATTTGTCTAAACCCACGTGATGGTTAGGTTTAGGGGCGGGGTAAGGGGTAGGTCATTCGTACGAATTCATACGAATTGGCCAATTCGTAAAATATGTACGATTTAGCAAAATCGTATTAATTCGTACGAGTGAGGTCCTATGAATTGTTACGAATTAGCCACGTTTTAATCATTCGTCGAATTCGTATGACTTGGTCGTGAGATCGGGTTGGCAGGATCTCCGGTATCTATTTGAATAGCATAGCGTTGCCTCTTGGGACCCAGAGTTAGAGGAAACTGTTATTTTATTTTAAAAATTGGGTACCGCTGACTGTGGGGCTAGTGGCAGAACAGAAACAAAACTCTCCATATGGCCTTTCTCCGGGTGAGGGAGTGATGCGGTCACCATCTCCCGAAGAGCTTCTCTCTCCGTTTCTTGGTTGAGGTCTCGGGACACTTTCTCTGACACTTACCACCTGGTTTGGCAGGGGCCTGGACGGGCTGGGCAGCATTCCTACGACCTGCTCCACGCTGTGGCCTGGGTGGAGGCTGCTACTGAGGCTGAGCGGTAGCAAAGGGGGCCACCCTTAGCTCGTTTACACTCAAATGTTAATGGGCACTCAGGCGAAATTCCAATTCATCGGTTCGTTCTGATGTGACGTCGATCGTGACCAACTGAAGGGAAACGTCTACATTACATTTCATGAATCGACGCACTACAAATTGATTATTCTGTGGAGAACATAATTTGTAACCCCCTTTTGTGGAGTAAATACATATTTTACTCACAGAATGAGCATTTCAGGTCACAAAAGGATGTTTTAGTTTGATCTTCAAATGAAAGTAAGCTCCATCAAACCCCAAAAGATACACTTTCATTTGGAGACATTCCAAAAAACTGAATGTCATTCTACAGTTTTGTCATATTTTTGAATACTTTATGATTTAGCGCAACTGTAATTCTCTCTAATTGGTAGCACATGGTAGCATGCCAAAAACTGAGAAAATCCCTCTCCCTCCTTCTATGAGAGCAAAAACAGAAGCAGCTTTAAATTTAAAACACATTGTACCACTAAAGATTGTTATATTAGGTTGGAAAATGGGGATGTAGGAGGAAGAGAGAGAGAGAGAAAGAGAGAAAACGAATTCTTTATAATGCCTTAGTTGCACCATTGTCGATCAGTCTTGTGTGGCAGTCACAAAAGCAGCCCCTTGATATCTCTGTCTTTAAAATCTGCATGTACTATTTCCGAATCTTGGTTTCCCAGAAGTCATGGACTTTTAAATCCCATTTTTAGTAAAGAAAACAAAAAAAAAACAAAAAACAAAAAAACATCTGAATCTCATGTACAAGTAGAACAGCACATATTTGGTAAAGAGACAAATACAGTAGTACAGAAAATTGAAAATAAAATAAATATCCTCAATTGTAAAATGTTTTCTAACTAATGCCTAAATCTTAGACTTAGAGCACATGTTGTATCCTGTTGCTTTATCCTTACATGGAACTCAGCAGGTTGGCAGGAAAGAGATGAATAGTCTGTCTATTTATAAATAAGTGAGTAGGATGTGTCCTAGTGAGTGTGTCTGTGCCCACTGTGATCCAGATAGAGGGATTTTGGCAGTTTGGTTCCTTTGTCGCTACACACCAATGGCAGAGATGCAAAAATCCACCTTTTTAGGCTTTATTGTTCCTGTTGTTCTATGTTTTAGAAAATAAATTATTGGTTTGCATTTTGTTTCCTCAGGTAAGCATTTGGTTAAAATTCAGGGAAAGAACTCAGAACATCTCATGAAAGGCAGTCCAAGTTCAAGGTATTTGCAGGCATTGCATTTACACTGCAAATATGTTGCAATATATAATTCACATTTATAAAAGGATTTTATGGTGATATTTGAATCACAGTTTGATCACAATAATAAAAAGACAAATATAAACTCTCAAAAAAATCCAGTTGATACTAACTTGTTTTTAAGGCTACAAATAATGCATTGACTGTTGCAATGACATGCCTCTATTTTTGTTTTAACTTTTTTCAAGAAATGCATTAAAATGCAATTTGTACAATGACTTGAATACATCTTATGTTTTTAATTTATGAATTAAAATGCATTTTTAAAGGTTATAAAATAAAAACGTGAGGGTGATGTAACTGTGTTGATATATTCATGAAGAAAAAAGAATGTATTGTACTGTAATTACTCACACAAGTTACCACATGACATTTGTGACATTTGAGTCATTAAATGCAAACTTTTCTCAAACATATTTTAAAAGTTTTTCGAAACTACATAAAATCAACATCTATAAAAAAGTACATTTCCAAAAAATTGGCACGTTTGTTTTAAACTAGATTTTTACAAGACTTGTCCGCATCTTAATCATGGACACTTTGGCTCCTTTACAATCAATGTAGGGCAATTGTGTAACAGTCCATTTCTGTCGTTTTTCATTGTTGTTGTTTGTTCATTTTGTTAGTTTAAATGAGACAATACAATATGTTAAGAAAATATCTGAAATGTGTACAGTAAATATGATGAAATAAGGTGACATCTAAATAAGAGTGTTCATGTTTCACAGAAGGAAGCTTAGATACTCATCCTGTGGTGCCAGGAAAGGGGGGTACGCAGAGAAAGACCCATCGGCCGGCAACCTTCAAGTAGAGCAACAGGAAGTTTCCATGCGATGGCACCACAGTCCGGAAAGCCCCCTTCTGCGCCGCCTGGGCAAGATCAGCAGTTTAGAGTGTAACAGTTCTGATGAACTCACTAACCCTCTTTCAGAGCAGGAAGACAGTGCTTATCGTTCTAGCACCAGTGAAGTCGCTCCACACGAATCACCGGGTCCTAATGGCACCATTTACCCTTTGCAGCCGAGGGAAGAGTCAGCAATAGCTCCATCAATGCCAACTCATTCCAAACACGGACAGCGACCGATTGAGATAAAGACTCCACCCTTCCGTCCCAGAATTTTACAGGAGCCATCACAGACAGCATCCAGAGCATCCGACCGTGGCGTTTCATCGTTGCACACCACTGCAGTACACAAGAGAATGGAAATCAATGGCACATGCCCAAGCTCATCAGATGTGAGCTCAAAATCGTGTTCGGACCAGGAAAGAGGGGAGCAGGTGTCCTGCCAGCCTGAGGAAAGATCTTGTGGGTGGGATAAGCCATCTGCCTCAGTGTCTCCAGGATCTGGAGTAGCACTGACCACTTATTTCTCCGTGGATAATTGTATGACAGACAACTACAGACTAAAGTATCACCACCAGAGGCCGTTGGTCCTCTCCATGCCTGAGCCGAGAGGAGCTGTTAAGGACGGGAGAGACACGGGACATTCAAGCCGCATAGAGAACCAGTCTGAACGTGCCAAAAATAAGTCTGACTCTGGTATGTTAGAGCTCAGCTGAGCTGTTCATTCAATCATTGATATATTGCTATATTTTTGGGGTTCATAAGATTTTTTTTTATGTTTTTGCTTATCATGGCAAATGTATTTGACCAAGAAACAGTATACACGGTAAAACCGTGAAAACATATTCCAGTTTTAAATAACTGTGTTCTGTTATTTATTTTTACATTTAAACTTACATTTATTCCTGTAATGCAAAATCCAAAGCTGAATTTTCAGCATCATTACTCCAGTCTTGAGTGTCACATAATCCTTCAGAAATCATTCTAATATGCTGATTTGGTGCTCAAGTAATATTTATTATTAATATCAAGGTTAAAAACAGTTTTTTTTTCTTTTGTAACATTATGAATGTTTTTACTGATACCATTGAGCAATTTAAAATATCCTTGCTGAATAAAAGTATTTCTTAAAAAAAAAAATCTTACTGACCCCAAACCTTTGAATGGTAGTGTACGTACTAACTGTAGTTACTAGCTTTAATAAACTAAGTTGTCCTTTTCAGGCAATAGCATCAATAAGCCCACTGCTAAATGGCACCCTGTCACTTCAAAAGGGCTAGATGAACATGGATATTTGTGAAAGTTATGGTAAGTTCTCGCCAAACCTTCAGATATTGTTTTAAACTTAAAAGTTTAAAAAGTAGGCTACAATTCTTCAACTAATAATAAAAAAGTAGGCTACAATTCTTTGAATAATAATGTTGCACATTTTTGTAGCAATGTACTTGCTAACTGTTAAGATTTTACAATAAACTACTAAAGTTAGCTAATTGTTTATTAGTGAATGCAATAGATAACACAAACTAACAATGTGCAATACATTTAGTAAATGAATTAAAATAACATTAATATATCATGAATGAACAATAACATATTTATAAATTATTTTAACCTGAATTAAATGCAATAAAACAACTGTTCAGTGCTAATTCATGATATAACTGATGCTGACAAAAGCTTTTTATAAAGTAAATTATTTATTTAATCATAATGGCTGTTTTAAATAATGATTCTCTACTTTACTGCATCACTGTAAACACAAATATGTTGGAAAAAATCCAAAGTTTAAGCAAGCAGAACTGGTTGATTTTTATTTTGTACTCATACATTTAAATTGGTCTTAACTTAAAATATTTGAGTAACCTAAATAATTAATACATTCAACTTAAGAGTTCAGATGCAAAAGCCTCTAAATGCCATTGAAATGTTCTTCTAAAATGATCATTTTTATCAAACTTGTATATATAAGTTCAGTAATTTCACTTAAATGACAATTAATAGGTAATCTTCATTGCCATTTAAGTGAAATTACTTAACTGAAATATACAAGCTTGATAAAAATGATCATTTTAGAAGAAAATTTCAAATGGCACTTAGAGGCTTTTGCATCTGAACTCTTCAATTATCATGTAATCCCGATCTTAAATAGATCCACTATTTATTTGCTCCACTTGTCACCATGATGGTAAACTCTCCTAAGAACCCCACATAACATAAACACTTTTGAATTAGCATAGCATAACATTGAACACTACTATATCTGTACTTAACATTAATCTTGCTCACAATATATATATATATATATATATATATATATATAGCACAGTTTCAGTTAAATTAAAAGAAACAATATATAAAACTAAAAGCAATTAAACTATTTGGATGTGTCAGTTTTGTGACCTCAAAATAAAAAGAAAGTTTTAAATACTTATAAAGGTTAAAAAGATAACCTTTAGGTTAAAGATACTGGTAGATTAATTTGTTACCATATTTTTTTTTAAATGAAATAAAATGAAATAAAATGAAATTATTAAGCATTAGGTAAAAAACTTAAAATGTTACCTAAACAAATAAATGAAATAAAATAATTGCAAGTACTAAAATGACTTAAAGGGAAATAAATAAAAACAGAAAAAAATAATTTAAATGAAAACTGAAAATGTAAAAGCTAATTCAAAATATGAAAAAATACTATAATTCTTAATTAATAATACAAAGAAGAATGCCAATTCAGCCATTGATTGACTACTGCTACTAACACTGTAACAACTACAATAATAATAAAGAATGAATTGATGTTTTCAGACATTTGACTAGTACATTATGTATTTAAAAACATAAAAATAAATCTTCTTTGTTTTTAGGTCCTGGTGACCCAGTGAGAAGTAATGCAAGAGAATTGCCAAAGATGTTAAACATATGGATTGTTTTTGTACTTAGCATAGGAGAGATGTGTCCTTTTGTACACTCTCCCTGTAAATTGTGAAGTTTGAGTATCTTATGAGATCCACAACAGCCATCCCCAAGAGGGCAGTATGCACTTAGGCTTAAATCAGTATTTGCTTGTGAATGACCATTTTATGCTGAATATCAAATTTATTGATTATCTTTTACTGAATTGTGATAGATAATACAGTATACTACCATTCAAAAGTTTTATGTTTTTAAAATAAATCTCTTCTGCTCACCAAGGCTGCATTTATTTGACCCAAAACACAGCAAAAATAGTAATATTTTGACACATTTCTATTTGAATATAATATTTTAAAATTTTATTTATTTCTGTGATGTTAAAGCTAAATTTCTGTGTAACATGATCCTTCAGAAATAATTGTTTGTTTGTTTGTTTGTTTGTTTTTCTTCAGGATTCTTTGATGAATACAAAACTTTGGTGACATTATATACCATTAAAAAAAAGTAAGATTTTTTAAAGAAATTTAAAAACAATACTTTTATTCAGCAAAGACGTAAAGATATTTATAATGTTACAAAATTTCTATTTCAAAAAAAATAAAATTGTGACAACTTTATATTCATAAAATAATCCTGAAAAACTATTTTCAACATTGATAATAATAATAATAAATGCTTCTTGAGCAGCAAATATGCATATTAGAATGATTTCTGAAGGATCAAAGACTGGAGTAATGATGCTGATATTTCAGCTTTGCAATCACAGGGATGAATTACATTTTAAAATATATTCAAATAGAAAACTCTTATTTTAAATTGTAAACGCATTTCACAATATTACTGTTTTTTCTGTATTCTTGGATCAAATAAATCCAGCCTTGGTGAGCAGATGAAACTTGTGTTAAAAACATTTAAAAATCGTACCAACGGTACGACGGTAGTGTGTATATGTAAAATAAGTCTTAAAGACAGAGTCTTAAAGACAGAGAAAGCGTCTTTGACATTAATTTCATTGCAAATGGACCTTTGTACATACTCCCTAGAGGTTGTTTGTGGAGTGCCTTCCTGCGATTTTTTTTCATGCAAAATATTGACATAATTCAAAATGAATGAATAATGTAAAATGAAATCCCCTATATATTTTTGGAGATGATTATGCTGTTATTTTTATTCTTTGTTTAATAAACTTCAAATGTTCAATCACTGACACAATATTTTTTTTACACCTGAAAACATTCTAAATGTTTTGCTTTTTAAACAACGGAACACATTGTAATGTACGTATCACAATGTATTTCTATTAGAAATGAGTCACAACACATGCAGCATACAATTAAAACTGTTCACACAAGGACATAAAAAGGGCTTTATTGCCATAAATATCAAAACTCATAGTGCAAATGTACATACATGCTTTGTAAACTTTAGGGCTGCCAATTTGTTAAAACCATTATCATCGGGTTGAATGCTTACAACACTTGGTTTCAAATCGTCAAACTAAATGTTGAATTGCTAATGGCATTTTAACCCCTCTTATAAATCCTCTTGGCCTCGACACCTTCATAGCAATAACACTGCAAGCAACAAAAAAATCAAAAGTGAGACAACACAAGTTTATAGCATTTATTCCAATTTTTTATTTGAAGAAATGTCATAATCCATAAGGAACAACAGTTTACCTGTACAAGTTCATCACCGATAATCTTCCTGGTTGTTATCAGCATCTTTCCATTGTCCTTGCGTGTGAAAGTCCCTTTGAGCGTGTCTCCCTCCATGACCCAGGATCCCTGCAATCAGAATGTCAAAGGTCAGACTTATTTTGATCTTAGCAGTGTGACATTCCCTCATTGACCTGTTAGTGATTCAGGAGGCTTGAATAGAGGGTGTTAAGAAAGTTACGCATTTTTTCTCTGAACATCTGAACCTTTGCCCTTGGGTTCACTATGGGTTAAAGGTTCTTAGTGGAACCATAGATGCCAAAACAGAGCCTTTATTTCTAAGGTTGTAAAGACTGAAATTTGAAATTATCGTACTTACTGTGAGCTCAGTGCCGTCTGCCATGGTATAGCTAAAAGTGACACCCAGAGTAAATTCAATATCCACTGTGCGGAAAGTGCTGACTTCCTTCAAATTGAACTTATCTCCAGTCTGCTGCACGGTGATCTTCAGGTTGTCATGAGAAGCTAGTTTCCTTTTCACCATGTTGATGCCTGTTGAAGATATGCAGTACACAAGCACAAACTCCTTATAAATAATGGCTCGCTGAATCACTCAACATCTTTAGAAAGAATATTGAAGCGTTTGATCTTGAAACCAACAATGTTCAGGCGATGCTTTGTCGAATTTGTCTGTCCACTCACCCATTTCTTCCAAGAACTTCTCGTAGTTCTCATTGCGGTCAACTTTCCAGGTCCCATTGAAGGCCATGATGACAGACTGCTGTGATCCTGACGGTGGCCTAACTTTACCCCGTGCCTGTCTTTTATACCTGTGCGAGTGAAGGCACGCTGTCTTATCTGAGAATTATCTCCATGCTGATGTGGCCGAGTAAAGCTCACAGAGTATAAAATTCACCCTCCCTACAGGCTATACACATCCCCGCCTGCCTTGCTTCATCATTGATTGTGCAAAAAGAGTGGAGGCTTCAAGTCATTCCATGAGAACAAGTACTCACTTGTGTTTGATGGTCAAATATTCACTTGGCATTAGTGTCTCTGTTGTTCTCACACAAAGTCCTCCTTTTGTTTGAATTGTTTGCAGGGTTTTTCTGTTACACTAGTTGTGTAGGTTTATGTGGCAATAACTTCTGTGGAACTCTGAGTGGTGCATTAAGCAATGAATTTCGTCTGAATCGGTTGCGTCTTTTAAATTGGGAACTGTGAAAGGCGAAACTATTCTAATGGGGTTATCCATGTATTATTTTGCAGCTACAGTGTGGATGACATGACAAAAGAGTTCATTGAGAGATTTGCACTGTTACTGCTTACAATGTCTTGAATACTAAGGAAAAAGTCACTGTGCGAAAAGCTGTGGCATATTCACTTATAATAAAAATGTAAACCAAAAAGTGTACATGGCCTGCCCGAATATAAAAATTAACACAACATGTAGGGTGGAAGTTTTATTTGGAGACTAAATGACAAGATTAAGAGATATCAAGACCTGAGATGTGATAGTCTCTGATAATGGTTTATTTGATCATTCCCTCAGTCTTTATCTCTCAACAGTGCAATAAAATAAGACCTTTGAAGACCTTTTGTATAGTCCTTTTTCATGACCTTTGGTATCGTCCTATTGAAAGCAAACACAAGAAAATATCTAAACTCAAAAATATTTCATAACTGCAACTTAACCCATAATGTTGAAACATAGATGCTTCAAGTGAACATCCAGAACTAATAAAACCATATACATTTGTGGTTATAAGTTTACATACACCTTGCAGAATCTGAAAAATAGTTATTATTTTCTTAAAATAAATATGACTTATTTAATAAGAGGTCTCTTATGCTTTACAAGGCTGCATTTCACAAATACAGTAGTTTATTTTTATTGTTATCATTCAGAAATCTTTGTTAATTTAAAATACACTCTTAATTAATTTAATGCATCCTTGTTAAATATAATTAATTTCTTTAAACAAAAAGAAAGCTCTTATTAACAACAAGCTTTTAAATGGTAGTTTAAATGCACAATTACTTTTTTTTTTCCTGTCTAAAATGTGGCTTTACAAACCCTATGCTCCATTGAAGCCTCTGTGGTTCACTCTAGGTTGTTAATCTGCATTTTCCCTGCACAATTACTCTTCCATAAAACACCATAGGTTGTTTATTAATCAGGATTGTAAAGTCCTGCTTGGTTGCTGTTATCAGATAATTATGTAATTTGCATTTGCGCTCGTACAGGGTATCAACAATCGTCCGAGTTCAGACACAATTCAATACAATCTGTTTCTATGATGTTTTAATCTTTTTTATGACATAATCAGTGGTTTCACTGCACTTGGCACATTGATGCATTTTACTAAAGGAGTAACTGCTGGCACAGTCGAGAGGATAATGATTAACTACACAATCTCTAATCTACAAATGAAAGTTGATTTCTCTATGGAAGTGGAAGTATTGAAAATATTGGGGTCATGGTCCTTCAGTAAGATTTTTTCACTCAGAGCTAAGTAGTTACATGTTTTTGCCACAAGAAGGAGACAGAGCTCTGATAAATTTGGCAAAGGGACAGGCCTATTGCTTTAGTGTGACTCAAGGTAACATTGTCATCTGGTGATGATAACATACATTATTCTGGTCATATAGAAGTAGAAGTTTGTGCAGTCAAAATTATGATCCATAGTAAGTTTTTTTTTCCTATTCTCATGAAATAAACACCTTTATAATCTTTAATGTGTACACTTCTGACATTTATATTTTTGTTGATGTTTCTATTCATACACCACTTGTCAAGAAGAAACTGTATAAAGAGTCCGAGGGTCTGTCTGATTTTATAAAAAACAAAAACAAACAAACAAAACAAAAAAAAAAACAGTAGTGTAAGATTTTAGATTTGACTGTTTATTTTTATTTGATTTCCAATCAGCCATACAGATATACTGTATGTGTATGTTTATGAGCATTAGAAAGGACAACTTATAAAGACTACTGAATATTTTTAATTTTGTAAATGAAAACAAACCTTAGCAGTACAATGCAACACAAACAAATAACAAATCTTTTGAATAATATTTTAATACAAGACTTAAATATATGTAGAGGTGTACATAAAAGCATTGTGACATGGGCAGGTTTCCTTTAAATAAATCTATATGTGAGATTCAATGAATACAAACTCTCAAATTCTATCCAATTTTTAAACACTAAATATTCACTTTAAAATGTGTTAAGAATATATTCATTCACGCAATAACACATAATAAAACAATATAACAGTAGCGCATTCTAAATTGTATTCATAAAATGTTTGGTAAATTCTCTGATGCAATGTAAGAGTGTAATTATGAATCTGTGCAGGCATTTTTATTATTTACAGCATGCACATTATCCCCAGAAACAGAAAAATAAATTCAGACTTATGGCTAAACTGAGTATTTCCAATATAATACATTGATACAGTAACAAAATGTACTTTGATCCTGAAAATCTAAAAGCTAGTACTTAATTAAAGTGCACAATTTAAACAATTTGTTTTAGATATTTCTATGTTGTAGTGCTTTTAACTTTAAATATCATCAAACAGACATACACGACTCAATACAGTGACACAAGAAAATAACTTATTTTACTCCGTGAT